GAAAAGCATTAGCTTTGTTGTTTTGCTAATACCTCAAAATGAACCTGTGAATGTCTGTGGGTGAGCACGTCTTTGCCATTCAAAAATCAAAGCGCACTTTTTTATTTTATAATGCCGTCTTATTGCTCTTCTTTGTAGGTGCTGGACTCCTGCTCAAAATGATAAATTATTATAATGACAGCTACAAAAAAACAACAACAAATAAGCCCGCAAAGCTGTTATCGTTCCATCCTGACGGATAACATGCATGACAGCTAAGTGGAATCCCGGAAAATAAACTGTGGAACTTTGACCAATGAGAGAACAGTTTACTCGCGTGTGACTTGTATTAACAAATTTGGTCCGTTTAGAAACTTTGCCGTGTGAAAGCGAACTGTGCCAAGAATAAAAAGCAACATTGTAATAATTTGAATCCCTGTTTCGGAACAAAGCAATCGATCTACAGGTGTGAAAACACCCTAAGTCAAGCAGGTTATGGGAGGAAAACGCTGAACCAATAATTAAACGTGTTGCGTTTGTATTCTGGGCTCATATCTGCTTGTCTGTGAATAGAATGCTTTATTAATAATGTGTTTACTGAGTTTGTTTTTTTTAAAACACCGTTTTAATGCATTAAGCCACATAGCCTACTTTCACGTTAAGCGTTTTAGAATGTCCCAATGATTAATTTGTGAATTCGACTGGTCCAGAAGATTAAACTTGCAGCAGCTAACATCTCGTGATTCAATAAAACAGACATAGTGAGTCAAGTTTACAATAAACAACTGTGCATTATAATGAAGGCTAAAACTGCACAGCATTTTTAGCTTTTTAAACAATATACTCCATCACGTGCAGCCCCGCCCCGATCTGCAGGCTGCAGCTGGTATACTTGACTTGGACCCCTCAAAATCAGCTATTTATATCAATGGGAATGATAGATCAAGGCTGTAATGTTAATGACATCCACCAGAGGATAAGAGATCCTTTTAGGTTTCAAAAATTGTATAAATGGTTCAAGAAATTAACTTGTAGTAAATATATATGTGACCCTGGACCACAAAACCAGTCATAAGGGTCAATTTTTC